CCTGCTGAAAAAGGCAGCTGTCCGAGTGCTTACGCGGAGTAGCCATCCCAGACGATCACCAAACTCTCGGGACCTCGGTCGGCTGTCGCTATCCATCTTCTGTCTTCGCTCACACAGAGGCAAGATATGCAACTCGAGTGTCCCTAAGGAGAAGGAAAGAGGCCTGGCTGCGCATGACTGGGGGTCGTTTTCAACAGGCCTCTGGATCACACGCTCTGCCAGAAATGCGTCCTCCTCCACCCAGCTCCAGGGGCAACCTAGACATGCATTCTGTGCAAGATGCCCCAGGCAAGCAGGGCCCTCCCTCATTCCTTATCTCGGTTTTCAGAAGTGAGGGGTAGAGCCATCCTTCCTGAGCGAAGACAAAAATGTGTGAGCCGGAGGCTAAAAAACTGTGAGCCAGCTCACACTAACTCAGCTTAGAGGGAACACTGGTCGGGACATTAAAGTTCCAGCCATATCCAAACTATTGGGATATTGATGGTGGATATCGTCAAGCAGAACAAGAGACTCTTCTCATTTCTCTCAGTGTGAAATGGAGCTGCGTACCTGGAGGTAGTATTGCTTGTTCCTTTGGAGGTCATGGATCACCGCAGTGTGGGAGGAGGCGTACAAAATCACCCTATAGTCTTCATCCATTAGGTTGAAAACCGGGAGTCTGCTGTTATAGCCGAAGACCCAAGATAAAGTCTGAAAGGAGAAAGTTGGCGATCAGAGCTGTATACGCCCCGTGCTATCTTTTAATTTATTTATTTATTTATTTTTCACATTTGTATCCCGCCCTCCCCAATGGGCTCAGGGCGGCTAACAAGGGCAAGGTAATTAGCCATGCCGTAATTAAAACATACAAAACATAATAAAAACATCCAACACTTAAAAACAGCGGTGCTCAATCAATTACAGATATCATAAATCCAAGATGGAATCAACACAGTTCCTGGTGGTGCTCCCATGATATTTGTCCCCAATGGCGACGGCTTATCGGATCTCCTTTACATTTTCCAAGTTCTTCCTCCGGGCCTCGTCGTTGCATCCTTTAAGGTACCATGACGGTGATGGTATAGTGGGGCGGCGGCTCCTACTCAAAGGCCTGGCGGAAGAGCTCCGTCTTGCAGGCCCTGCGGAACTGCATAAAATCCGACGATTTTAAAAATAACGAAATGGATATTCTGCGCTACGGTATGACTTGCATAACTGATGCATTTTGAGCCATTTTGCACGATTTCTCTCATCCTGGATCATTTGTCCTGTTTCTTCTAGTCACGGGAGGGAAAATAATTACCCAGAGGGCTGAACCCCGTCTACTTTCACTACTAGCGGAAATCTGATTCAGACACTGATTTGTCTTCTGAAATACCACCGGGCATTGCCCATATACTTTAAAGCATGCCTTTGCGACAGGCTCGAAACCAGAGATCATTTCAGGGGGGGAACACGGGGGATCGCAGTTCCCCCGAGTGAGGTACGGGGGGCGGGGCACATGACAAAGCCCCGCCCCCTGCTTCCGGCCGCCCCACTTCCGGCCCTCATCCAGCGAGGAGGAGGCAGGAGAAGAGGGAGGGGAAGTTGCTTCCTCCCTGCCTCTCCCCATCCCTGTCTGCCTGGGGCCAGGGAGGGCCTTTGCGGGGCTTCCTTGCACTCCCGCCGGCCTTGCAGGTCCACCGCCGGGCCCCTCATGGGGCTCGGCAGTGGAGCTGCAAGGCTGCCGCTGGCGGCCGGGACTGTTGGGGGCGGGGTGTGTGGCCTTATGACACACTTCCGGTGATGTCAGGGGGTGTGGCCTTATGACACACTTCCGGTGAGGTCAGGGGGGTGTCATATGCTAATGAGTTATGCTAATGAGTTCCCCTAGCTCTTTTTCTACGAAACGACCCCTGCTCGAAACTGTTTAGTGGTGATTAACAAACTACCTCTGCATTTGAGCCTCTGTGTTATCTCTGTTTTTGCACATTCAGATTTTTCTTGCTTGTATGCTCCTATTGGCCTTTGTGTGTGTTTTTCTGTGTGTGTTCTCTAGCTGTTTTGCTCCCTCTAGTGGTCAATTCAATATTACATTGCTGTATGTCCAGCATCCTGCCAACCCAGCCAAACAGCGTTCCGTGCGCCTTGGCGTCTAGTCATGCCAGCCACATGACCACAGAGACGTCTTTGGACAGTGCTGGATCTTCGGCTTGGAAACAGAGATGAGCACCGCCCCGTAGAGTCAGATTCGACTGGCTTTCGAGCCAGGGAAACCTTTACCTTTTACCTTATGCCCCGCATAAACTGAGTAAAAGCACAGCGTCCCACCCCACCCGAGGCCTGAAGGCCTTTGGTGCACTCCTCAAAATGATGCTTGACAGCTGAGAACAACAGTGAAGGCCTCGTGCTGGGTGCCTCCACTTCCTGAGGGAAGGTTTCCAAGGGTAAGGTCCAGGGCTATTTTTGGGCAGGAACGCACAGGAACGGAGTTCCGGCTGGCGTCAGAGTTGGCCACGCCCACTACAGCCAAAACCTCTGCGTGCGTGGCCACAGAGGAAAGGCCTGGAGAGCGACCCCTCCCCCCGGTGACTCCAAGGGGGGCGGGCCAGGGGGGGGCCTGGAAGGATCGGGAAGGCATTTAAATGCCTCCCCGTGCCTTCCCCAGCCTGTCAAAAGGCCGGCTTGCCCGGGCTTCCCGCAGCCACAGGGCACCCGGGCAAGCCAAGGGTAGGCATGGGGTGTGGCCTAATATGCTAATGAGTTCCTGTTGTTGGGCGTGGCCTGTTATGCTAATGAGTTCCTGCTGGGCTTTCTCTACAAAAAAAGCCCTGGTAAGGTCTATCCTATTCTGGCACCCCATCTTTAGAACTCCCTTCTTCCGCCCATTTGCTTGGCACCTTCTCTCTAGAGTTTCAGGTGCCAGGTGAAGGTAACTTTATTCTTTCTTCAGGGGAGGTTTCGTGCCCCAGCGGCAGAGCATCTGCTTGGCATACAGAAGGTCCCGGGTTCATTCCCCCAGCATCTCCAGTTAACAGATGTGAAAGAACTCTGCCTTAGATTCTGGAGAGCCACGGCCAGTCTGAGTAGACAATACTGACCTTGATGGACTGGTTCAATATAAGGCCGCCTGTGTCCATGTGTTTCTGGCCTTTGGAAAGAAGTTGGGTTTTTTTCCTTCTTGCCCTCTACCCTTAATTTGTTTTCAAAGCCTAGCAGTGCTTTTGTTGTTTTTGTTGTTGCACCCAGGTGGCCCATTTCACAGGTTTATTTTTCTCTTTCTCCTTTCTTTTTTCAGATTGACTGAATTGTACTTGTATGTCGGGTTCTATTGCTTTTTACACTCTGCCTCAGGAATACATCAATATTTAAGTAAGCAAAGGTATGTACGTGTACGTTTTAAACAAAAGACTGCTTTCCGTGACTTTTTTCTCTGCCCCCAGGTGCTCCCTTCACTTTCCCATTTCTGTGGGCCCACAAAGGTTGCCAGTCTCCAGGTGGGGCCTGGAGATCTCCCAGAGTTACAACTGACCTTCAAACTATAGAGAGCAGTGTCCCTGGGAAAAAATGGCTGCTTTGAAAGGTGGACTTTGAAAGGTGGAGCCAGTTTGGTGTAATCGTTAGGAGCGCGGACTCTAATCTGGGAGAACCGGGTTGGATTCCCCACCCCTCCATGTGCAGCCAGCTGGGTGACCTTGGGTCAGTCACAGTTCTCTCAGAGCTGTTCTCTCAAGAGCAGTCCTCAAAAGAGCTCTCTCAGCCCCACCTACTTCACAGGGTGTCTGTTGTGGGGGGGGGGAAGGGAAAGGAGATTGTAAGCTGCTCTGAGACTCCAAGTGAAGGGGGGGTATAAAGGCAATCTCTTCTTCTTCTCCTCCTCCTCCTTTGTGGGCCTTTATAAAATACTGGGCTCTAGACGCATGGCAGTGATCAGCTCAGGTTTATTCAGTGATTTCAGCAAAACTACAAGACAAGACTCCAGAGCCTCAGCTCTGTTAACTAGCAAGACATTGCCACACCCAAACACACCCCACTCCCCATGATAGGCTATTTACATAACATTATTACTTGATTGGTTCATTCCAGAGTCCTGGCCGGCTATTGCTCTTGTGCTCCAAGCTCAGCCAGTCTCTGGGGTGATTCAATCAGGGGTGATTCCGTCCCAATACATAACAGCCATATACCCTACTGAGGTCCCTCCCCTCCCCAAACCCCACCCTCCCCAGGCCCCACCCCCAACCCCCCTAAGGAATTTCCCAACAAAAACGACAGACTCTTTCCAATCAACTGGAGAGAGACCCTGAAGAGGGCTGGGTTGCCTGGAGGCTTCTTCCTCCCTGGGGGACATTTCCACACTCGTTTGCCTGCTGAGACTTTCCTCCTTGGCTTGGAGAGCCAGGCTGGCCTCCCCGGCAGCATCTCCCGGGTGGCTTCTGCTAAGGGCGCTTTCTTTTTCTCGTCTTGTTCCAGCAAGTTCCTGGCTCGCCTCGCTCTCCTGACTGATGGGACGCTGGGGCATCGTTTCTGCTTCTGGGGTATCTCTGGCACCACTAGAAGCAGAAGTGGCAGGGCGCTGTGCTAAATCCCCCTGGACCGTCATTTCCGCTTCTGGTGCCAGCCTCTCGTCTTGGCTTCGTCCAGCGTCTGGTTCTTTTGTGAGGCCTTCCTCTTCGCTGGGCCTTTGGTCTTCCACACGGTCTTTCCCAGGTCCTTCGACTTCTTCTCCAGGGGCTTCCACTTTCACAACGGTTTCGTGGGAGAATCGCTGCTCTTCTTTCTCCCTCGAAGACCTGGCCGTGACGTCCTTCGGCGTGTGACCCTCTTGCTTGCCTTTCTGAGCTCTGCTGGTGGATTTTGAGACTTTCACAGAGGACTTCTTTTTGGGGTGCAAGCCCGAGGGGACCCGCCGTTGCTTTCCTTCTCGCGCAGATCCTTCATCCGCTGCAGTTTCCTTAGAGACAAACGAAGTGGTCAGTTGTGGTTCTCTAACAAGTTTTAAGTTCTGGGATGATGGGGCGGGACAAACACACGGCCCTCAGCCTGTGTCAGGATGCTTTCTCATGCTCTTGACCAGCACATGAAGCAACTTATGTACAAAAGGGAACTTTTGATTGAGATCGTTTGAGATACTATGTCTGATGATATTGTTTTAACTTTAAAACATTTTTATCTTATATCTGAAATTATTGTGGGTACCTACTTTTATTCATTGTATTTGTCCTCATTTTATGCCATTAAAGGTTTCTGATCTGATCTGATCAAAAATATAATGTACAAAAGCTCACAATGCCCAGTCATTTCATGTTTTCCCTTGGGTCCTAGGCTCAGAACACTGAGCACAAGGTTTCTGCAATGACTGTCAATAAAACAAAAGTAGGTTTGCAGCTTACAGAGACACACCTGAACGGCATACTCAGGATTGCGACAGCACAGACATTTTGATGCAATAATTCAGAGCAAGAGGTGTCAGTTATCAGAGACATTTAAATAGACAAAGTATTGCAAGAGTGCTAGTGTTTTAAGCATGTTTTATTTAAAGTTTAAAAATCTTTAATTGTGTTTGTCTGTGTCCTTTATAAAGTTTATATCTCCGCTAGCAGGCATTACATTTTATGACACACATGGACCGGCCCAACTAGGTCTTATTTATTTCACATCTGGCCCTCATAACAATTTAGTTCGACACCCCTGGTTTAAATGGTACATCAGTTGTCAAAATGGGAATTGTCTGGAACAAGAATAACATTCTAGGTAAAACATTCATCTTAACCACAGATATTCTACTGAAAAGGGACAGTTGTACATTACCCCATCTCAATATATCTTTTTTAAAATATTCGTAATTTTTATATTGCTAATGGTTTGTTTAATGCTATTTTTATATTGGAAACCTTGTATTAAGAACCCTGGATGGTTTTTAATAGCTTGTCTTGGTGCAAGCTGCAAGAGCCATCTCGAACAGGTATGTAAGTTTTCAAAACAAGATAACAAATGCTAGATTCTGTGCTGTGAGGGAGGCGGAGGCGGAGGAGATTAGATTTATACCCTGACCTTCACTACCCGAAAGAGCGCCTTATAATCTCGTTCCCTTCCTCTCCCCACAACAGACACCCTGTGAGGTAGTTGGGGCTGAGAGAGCTCTTTCAAGAACTGCTTGTGAGAGAAAAGCTCTGAGAGGACTAGTGACTGACCCAAGGTCACCCAGCAGCTGCAAGTGGAGAAGTGGGGAATCAAACCCAGTTCTCCAGATTAGAGTCCGCTGCTCCTAAACACTACACCAAACTGGCTCTCATGGCCCGGATATTGGGCTACTAGGACACTTCTGTTGACCTCTGAGCTCAAAACGGTCACAGTTCTGTGCTAATACTCACAGTGGGTAAGACGGTGCCTTCAGAAACTTCCAAAGGATCTGGAGAAGAGCTGGTTGGCACCAGGATGTCTTTTTCTGAAAATCTTACACCTTCAGTTCTTTCCGTGAGCTCAGAAGTTCCCTGACTCTGTTCACTTGGCACCTCGACAGCCTGGCTGGGCGATTCTGTCTTAGCGGGCATCATTTCTACATCAGGTGCCTCTTCGCTAGGCATTTGGGCATCACCTTCTGATAAGTTCATCTCCTGAGAGGTTTCTGCGGGAGTATCGCTGGGTTCATCCGACATCTTCTCGACAAGTTTTTACAGATATACCTGTAATCTGAGAAACAGCATTTCAGTAATATTGGTCAGAGGGCTGTCACGACGTTTCCATGATGTGAGGACCGGCCACAGCACCACTCGCAGAGCACATGAGCGGCATGAGACCTAGGGTTGCCAACCTCCAGGTGGTAACTGGAGATTTCCTGGGAACGGCTCACCTGGAGAAAATGGACACTTTGGAAGGTAGACTCTATGGCATTATACTGTACTGAAATATTTTAGGGATGACCATGATAGCAATGCCAGGCTATGCATTGCCTATGCCTCTCTCAGACTTCTCAGAAAGTTGTAAATAAAACTTTGAAATCTAGAAGAGGTTAGCCATCAGTCTCGAAAAGTTAGGCCGCTTTCTGGTCTTTGCAAGCTTGTTAGTTTTCCCTTGCTCAAAAGTCAGTCAAATCCGACTCTAGGGATGCGGTGCTCATCTCGGTTTCCAAGCCAAAGAGCCAGCACTGTCCAAAGACGTTTCTGTGGTCATGTGGCTGGCATGACTAAACACCAAGGCGCACGGAACACTGTTCCCTTCCCACCGATGTGGTACCTATTTATCTACTTGCAATTTCTTGCTTTCGAACTGCTAGGTTGGCAGGAGCTGGGACCAGAGACGGGAGCTCACTCCGTCACGCTGCAGTCGGGTCTCGAACTGCTGAATCACCAACCTTCTGGTCAGCAGTTCAGCATCTTAACCACTTGAGCCACCATAGCCCTGAGTGCAAGCTTGTTACCTCCATTCTAATCAGAAACTGACTTTGCTCTGGTGGGATTGTTTTAACTTTTCCAGAAAGCAAATGTGCCATATCCCAAACACCTTGGTTTCAATAGCAGCCTGCTATACAGTTTGGTGTAGTGGTTAAGTGTGAGAGCCAGTTTGGTGTAGTGGTTAAGTGTGCGGACTCTAATCTGGGAGAACTGGGTATGAGTCCCCACTCCTCCACTTGCACCTGCTGATGTGACCTTGGGTCAGTCACAAGCTCTGGCACAGCTGTCCTTGAAAAAGAGCAGTTTCTGTCAGAGCTCTCTCAGCCCCCACCTACCTCCCAGGGTGTCTGTTGTGGGGAGGGGAAGGGAAAGGAGTCTGTAAGCCGCTCTGAGACTCCAAGTGAAGGGCGGGGTATAAATCCAATCTCCTCTTCTTCTTCTCTCTTCTACTACACGGTGGAAGGGGCCGGGTGAGAAATACAATCAAAACCCCACTGACGGCATGAAAATTATTCTTCGGACCCGGGGGGGAGGGGGTTGCCAGCTTATCAGACCTTGCTCCTTTGCCTTTAACATCAGACTTGAGGAGCAGATAGCGCTCATCTTTATGCCATGAAAACTTCCTTCCGGTTTGGCTACTTCTGCTGTTCATAGGCCCAGAAGGAGGGCAGACAATGTCCCCTAGTTAGCCGGCTATCTAATACCCCAGCCTCTATGTGTGACATGCTTGCCAGTTGCACCAAAGATGTGACACTGACAACAAAACCTCCCCGACTGTCAAAATCTGTGACTGTGTTGATTTCTGGGGTGGGGGGGGGGGGGAGATTTGCAGAGTTTGCTTCTACAGAAATTCAGGCAGAACATTTTTAGAATCTAGCCGTGATGAAAATAGCCCTGTCCTGATTTTATGATTCTTGGTTTATTTTAGTGGGTTAGCTATTGGCTTAAGCAAAGAATGTTCGCTTTGGTATTCGAACAGGGGGGGCCCACGTAGAAGAAAAAGAAGAGATTGGGCTTATACCCCACCCTTCACTAACTGAAGGAGACTCAGAGCAGTTTACAATCTCCTTCCCCTTCCCCTCCTCACAACAGACACCCTGTGAGGTGGGTGGGGCTCAGAGGGCTCTTTCGAGGAAGTGACTGACCCAAGGTCACCCAGCTGGCTGCATGGGGAGGAACGGGGAATCAAACCGGGTTCTCCCAGACGAGAGTCCGCGCTTCTAACCACCATGCCAAACTGGCTCAAACATAGGCCCTGGTACCACCCATAAAGGAGCGAACCTTGAGGCGGTGGGGCAGGTCGCATCAGGCTTTGTGGGAACTGGGAACTGGCCGTGCCTCACTCCATTCAACCTCCGGGATTTCTAAGGCCAGTTGCCAGCCTCCAGGTGGGGCCTAGAGATCTCCCGGAATTACAACGGATTTCCAGACTGCACACAGATCAGTTCCCCTGGAGAAAACGGCTGCTTTGGAGAGTGGGCTCCACGGCATTATACCCTGCTGGGATCCCTCCCCTCCCCTCAATCCACCCCCAAGTCTCCAGGGATTCCCCCAACCTGGAGTTGGCAACCCTACCTGCCCTCCGAGCCTCTTCCCAACCGCCCCCCCCCCGCCTCCCCAGACTCACCTGGCCGGCTGCAGCCGAACTGCCTGGGAAGCCTGGAGACTGTTTGCATCCGACTCCCGTTCCCATAGCAACCGGCAGCTGCCAGAGAAGGCCGCAGAGAAACCGAGGCCAAGTGTCTAGGCAGGACGGGCCTTCTCCTCCTAGGGACAACTCGGCCGCCCTAGCCGCTTCCCAGACACCCGGTTTCCTTTTCCACATCTCTGGGGACTCATTCGTGCGGGCAGTGCCACATCACACACTGTGGTTCTTCACAGCTCCTGTAAAGTGCCATTGCGCACTGCTGTCTGAAGACATGGAGCCCTTTGCGCCTTTGCTTGTCATGCCCCTCCTCAGGAAAAAAAAACAAACCCATTGCTTAAAATGCCTTTTTCATTGTTTGGCAGCTCCAACATCGACACGCCTGGGATACCTAAGAAGGGCACCTGCTTTTCTGGCCACTACACCAGTTTGGTGCAGCGGTTAGGAACGCAGACTCTAATCTGGGAGAACCAGGTTTGATTCTCCACTCCTCCACATGCTGCTGCTGGTGTGACCTGGGGTCAGTCACAAGTTCTCTCAGAGCTGTTCTCTCAGAGCTCTCCCGGCCCCACCTCCCTCACAGGGTGTTGTGACATGATCGAGGTTCATAAGATGATGCAGGGGACGGAGCAGGCTGAGAAAGAGGTCCTTTTCTCCCTTTCTCACAATGCAAGAACTTGTGGGCACTCCATGAGATTGCTGATTGGTCGGGTTAGAACAGATAAAAGGAAGTACTTCTTCACCCAAAGAATGATTAACACATGGAATTCACTGCCACAGGAGGTGGTGGCAGCTACAAGCATGGGTGGCTTCAAGAGGGAATTAGCTAAGCATATGGAGCAGAGGTCCATCGGTGGCTCTTAGCCACAAGGTATAGACAGGAACTCTCAGTCTGGGGCAAGGGATGCTCTGTCTTCTTGGTGCATGGGGGGGGGGGCAACAGTGGGAGGGCTTCTGGTGTCCTGGCCCCACTGCTGGACCTCCTGATGGCACCTGGTATTTTTGGCCACTGTGTGACAGAGTGTTGGACTGGATGGGCCACTGGCCTGATCCAACATTGGCTTCTCTTATGTTCTTATAAGAGGGAATTAGATAAGCATATGGAGCAGAGGTCCATCGGTGGCTCTTGGCCACAAGGTATAGATAGGAACTCTCAGTCTGGGGCAAGGGATGCTCTGTATTCTTGGAGCTTGGGGGGGGGGCAACAGTGGGAGGGCTCCTAGGGTCCCGGCCCCGCTGATGGACCTCCTGATGGCACCTGGTATTTTTGGCCACTGTGTGAC